AGACCGCATGTATGACATCATGGTAACTGGCAGAGGCAGTAAAGGAGGTGTTAATCATCCACATTGCTGAGAGAGCGAGAGAGGTGATTCTTACTAACACCTTGTCCTCTCTCTTAATGATATGATCCAATTAGATTAAACTACACCAGCTTGACACCCTCCAGTCCTTACTCTTGTAAAAGTTTGAATAGATCCTATAAAGATTTATGGATTTGCCTCGAAGGGCCTATCATAAAAACAGAAACACAACGTATAATGCAGAAAAATTAAACGTGTGGTGAGTTAATGGTTGTATTCTCTTGTGGGTTTGCAACCGAAAGCTTTCAGACTTCAGCCGTTCAAAGTACTCGAAGCAGTGTCTGTAGCATACATAGCAGAAGAGCATCACAGTTAAGAAGTTGTTTGGGGCAAGAATACTTGTGACGCCGTCTCAGAACCTTTTAACCTTCATATAAGTGCATAATCGACTCTGAAAAGGTTTGATTTCTTTCCATCTCAATATTTCTCTATATCCACAGCCATTTTTGACCCTCCTCTCTTGGTTTCTATATTAGTTTTTTTTTTAAATCGTACTTGAAAAATGGCTTGTTAGCAGCTGGGTAGAAATATTCAAGAAGAGAATAAACGCCATCAAGTTCTCTTACGCAGGTTTAAAAAGGGGGCATAATAGGTCATGAACAACTTGGCTAAAAAGAAGATGGCTAACTGTCTCATTTAGTCACTTCCCTCCTTCAGCCCCCACAAGGACATCTTGGTGGTATTCTAGACTCATATTAGGATGGATTTGCAAGAGGCAAAAATACACCCACGTGCAAGTGTCACCAGCTGAGGACTGCTGCAGCTGCAGCTCGGTCCCTGCCTGCTTCAAACAGAGAGAAGGGGGCTCTTCTTCAATCACAAAGTTTACTAAGTCAAGAGGTCCTGAGACTTCACCACTTTAACATCTGCCAACGATTTCTTTAGGAACTCTATGTTGTTGCTTCAAGGCTACACAGTAAGAATGAACCTGGGTCCATTGAATACAAATAAATCAGTATTTATGTTTTTTTTTTCTCACTTAATCTAAACCAGCTACAAGCATGTCGGTCAGTCCTTGGCATGCATGACACTGATGAAATGCAAGGCAGCAAGAGATGCAATGCATTCATTTGTAATAGCAACAGCTCATGCATTTTACGCCTGCCAGCCACATAATCTGATAATTCCAATGATCAGACCCTGTCAAAGATGTGCGAATGGGCTTTGCTCTCAGCAGTGGCATGTTTCAGAATAAAGTTTTTTCACTTTCAGCACGTTTCACTCTTGTCGATAACTTGGGTGATTCAGTTATGTGAAGGGGAGAGTCAACATCAGGGAAATGAACATAAAATAAACTGAACATTTATGGAACATTATTGATCATGTATCACAGTACCTTAATAGTTGTAGTACTTGCACAAAATCAAAGCAGCTTTTTAGGGTGACAGACAGTAAATGACCGATGACGTGCAGCCCAATCACATCCTATTCTAAAGATCTGTGCCAGTATTGTGGCGTGGGAGTCAGCGTCGAAGAGCAGACCTCTTGAGTAATTTGGATTAAGCAGATTACCCATGATAATACATTTAAGAATAACTTTCCACTGTAGGTCTGAGTCCTGAGGACTGAAAGGCTTAGCACTATAGTGTAATGTTGACCCTGTTTCATTATATCTTTAAAAACACATCCAAATGCACTCAGTCTGTTTATAATGTACAGCATTTGAGTGTTCTTATGCACTGTATGAGCAGTTAACCCAATATATAACAACTTTTAAACTGTTTTCATTATACAATATCTTTAGAGAATAGCTTTGACTGACAATATCACATGTTTGCATTATTATTCATGATTTGATTATGAATGTCTGCTTTATGGCTTGATACCTTTCCATTTCATTTCCTCTGAGCTGCTCTTATTGCATCTGTGTCTAAGAGCGTGCATTCCTTCTTACTCGATAAGCTAAAGCTTGGGGCAAACTCTTAAAAAATATGTAGCTGAAATAGCTCTTGGTTTTAAGAGCTAACTCAGAACAGACTCAGAAAATATGAGCTCTTATTTAAGCGTTTCTTAGTTTCTACTTGTCTGCTACTGAGACAAAAGACATATGGACTGCTTATACTATAGCTAATAAACAGCATGAAGTCATTCAGTTAGTCTGTGAACTTACTGGACCACTTCTCACCCTTTATAAAACCAGAGAAAAGGCATTAGAAGCTTTAGTACAGCATGTACTACCACGGCATGGTTGAAGAAAGTTTTCAGTTCAGTGTTCAGTGGCTAGCTACCAAATCAGGAAATTCTTTTTAAGCATTCATTTCATGTTCCAGGAAACTCCCATGTCAGAAAGAATTAGGCTGTGAAATAACTCTTCAAGCAACATTGCTTCTTTGCCTCTTAGGTATGGGTGGAGTAGGCAGTCTTAAAAGTTTGAAACCTGCTTGCTTTCTTTCACCTCCAGGCCTTACACAGAGTGTAAGGTGCGTGTGTTTCCTTGTGCGGCCAGAGCCTTGTCCCAGCATCAAAATGAGCCAGGAGGACAAAGGCCTCTCGGGCTGTTGGCTCCCCGGAATCTGGCCACTTGGCTGGATGGGACTCTTGATTTGGCAGGATTGGAGAGAGAGGGGACTCCTGATATCTATCAAGCCCGAAGAGCAGTGCAGACAGTGCTGAAAAGCAGGCCAGGCTGCACTCAACATCTAACGTGTTTGAGAACAAACAGCAAGTTAATGGTTTCAGGAAAGCACAAGCCAGAGGCCATTCAAATGAACAGTTTCTGTAGTAGATTAGGCCAAGACCAAAAGTGTAATTTACAACATAAAGACGAAAATGTATCCAGCTCTGTCGTGTCCTGTCCTGGGAATGGATTAAGATAGTGCTAGTTTGAGGAAGAATGACTTAAAAATGTTCACCGCTCCTTGTTTATTCATATTTAGTGATACTACAAGTATGACTAACTGTAAAAGTTGTGTAGTCGTCCATGCCGTGTAAATGTTCCTTAACATGCAGTTTGTTACGGTAACTGAAGTTACAGCAGATGAAGTTTAAGCACAATGCCATACAAATTAAGAAAATAAAAGAAATCCCTTTGTAATGGTACTACAACCGATTTCAGATTATTGAAGTATTTAAATACTACTACCAGAAAGCAGCAGTGATAGCGGGTAATTAAACTACATCTGATTAAGAGTTTTATGTAGGACAACTGAAAGATAGTTCTGCGTAAGTAGTTAAATTGTAAGGATAACAAAGTGATAATTCACTGTAATCAGTATCTCAGTGATAAACTTCACATAAAGTGCCAAAGTACAATTCAGGGCATCTTGAAAAACATTAACAAAAAGGGTACAAGTCCATTGAAATGTCCTCTTCCTGTTCAGTCTGTCACAAGGAAGCATAGTTCATATCAAATTAAACACAACTGAAGACATGTGAAGAAAGAGATTACCTGCAGGTATAACTGGGAAAGATGCAAACAAGTCCACATGAGTACATCAAACAACCAAAAAAAAAAAGAAAAAAAAAAAAGGGAACATCCTGAATCATCCAGGACACTGTGAGACAGGTATGCATCGTCATGTCTCCAGTCACCACCTTACTGCTGACGTGGTGAGGATGCCAACAAAAAAAAAGAGACGATCAATAGAAGTACCAGATACAAGTTGCTATACCCTCACTTGTCTTTGAGACAGTTTGGTGTCCACTCAGCCACCTCACTGTTCAACAAGGGCACATCACGATGGTTGAGCACCAAATGTCCCAGCATGCTCGGTCATGTCTAATCGTGGGCCTTGTGCACACTACTGAACCAAAAACTACGTAATGGCAGCTGTCTGAACCAAAAAAAAAAAAAAAAAAAAGACAGGATGGTTGTATTACAAGACAGCTTGTAATCAAAGAAAAAGCAGAACTGATCCAGCAGTAAGTCGCCCTTGCTTAAGTTAGCCCAGCTAGCTCCCAGATAACGTTATAATCTAACGAAATGCAATGAGAAAGAAGAGGCACACACACACACACACACGGACGATAAGCTCACTTTTACAACATGACTAGCACGTAAAATGTTTATTTTATTAAAGCAGGAGGCTCAAAAGTGGCCGGGACATGGCTACAAGTAGTTGCTGCTGTAGTTAAATGCCTACAGGAAATGGCTCGACAGCACTATGAATGAGCGAGCTAACATTAGCTAACTAACGTGAGGCAGTGACGGACGGTGGCCGGTAAATCCAATATTTGGTTAGAGAGGGAGTCCTCAGTGATACAAAAAATTGGTTTGACATATTTGAAGCAAAAAAAACTCCAGTTTGTGTCTCTTTCACAAACACTGAGCCCAACCAGGAGGCGTGGACGTCTGCCTCTACCCCCCCCCCCCTCCCCTCCCTCCACCACCGGGCCTCGTCTTGCTGGTGACCCAGCCTCCTTCTCTCCTGAAATCTCTGACCCGGTCTGCTGCTTCAGTCCTCCGCTCAAGTCCTGAGGGCCGAGCCAAGGCCCCGGTGAAAACCTTAGCCGCGCTCACACAGGAAATAACCACTTATAACCAGAAACATCATACCTGTCGCTTCAGTTTTTTCCCCCTCTCTTTTAGTAGGTGGTGAAATGGCGTTGATCTGCGTTGACTCTGGCAGACTCCTGACTTCCCGGGGCAGCTCCAGCCTGGCTTTCTCCTGCGCTATCCGTCAGACTATCTCCTGTTTCTGGTACGCGGGGGCGGGTCATAGTCGAGCTACTAGGAGGGCTCGTTTTGAGATCCGGGGCATGCCGTTATGCTCTGATTAGACGCTTTTGCTAAGAGACCCGCCTTTCCGAGACAGCCTCGGTTTATCAATCGAGCGATGAACAAAGACAAAAATAGGGGAGTGGTCATTGCACTTCCTCCCCCCCCAAAGTCCATGAGACACACGAGTACAGAAAGTACTTCACTATGTCTATTGGGACTTTTAGTTTATCTGTTGAATTCAGAAACCGTACTGTACTTCTGTTTATTATTTTTAATCGTATTTGAACATTATATATAATGACTACATTCAATTGTCATGTTTAATAGTATTTACAGAGAGAAACACATGAACACTTAAATCAAATAAATGATTAATAATCATTAAAAAAAACAGTACAATAGTAATAAGCATCAGGCACAGATCTTCATGTCTTCACTGCCCCTCCCCACTGTAAAGCTGAGTCAGTCATTCCTCCTCTGTGTCAGCTGAAGCTGTCTGCCCTGCAGCCTGCAGCTCTGCCTCAAACTGCTTCTTCAGGCCCTTCAGATACGTACGCAAGCTGTCTCGGTCCAGTCTAGAGTTCCTGGCAGTCAGCAGGAGGCGGGTGGCCAGGTGGTACACAACTCTCTGCCGCTGTGTTTCTGGATCACTCTGTTGTTTGGCCTAGAGGTCGAAACACACCTTGTTTCTTTATGACCAAAATTACTTTATTTATATACAGTATATATATATATATATATATATATATATATATATATATATATATATACCAACACAAACATCCACTGGGATTGATTATCTGACTCCCTCTGGGTCTTATATTTGTTTTCTTGTCATTTAAAATTGATTTTCGACTGTTGCATAAATGCTTTAAAATTCCCTTAGTGTTTCTAAAATTTCCTGAAAAAAGGCACACAGCCTACAAATACAGGAAATTGAAAATATGAATTGGAAATTAATAAATCATACCAAAAGCTGCTCGCTGACTTTGGAGGCAATTGTCTTCGCCTCTTGAATTATGTCTGAAGGAAGCGCAGTCATTTCTGCTGCTCTCAGACCTAGTCAGAGAGAGAGAGAGAGAGAGAGAGAGAGAGAGAGAAAGACAACAAGCTTTTTAATCATTTCCATGCCTAATTCCAACAGCATCATACATAGATTTCACAGACTCTGTACCATAGTGTCTTTCTTCAGAGCATCCTCGATTCAGCAAGAACGTATACACCACACTCTCTGCACCACTGTCAGCACTGCGAGTGTGCTGAACCTCCATGTGCTGATTCTCCACGTTGGGATAGAGGGACTCTAGCTGGCACAGCTCAAGAAAATGTGTGGCAAACAGGGTGAACGTCTGCAAACAGAAGGAAAACGAGCACACAACAACTGTGGAAATGACATGCCATTCCTTATTGTTTCACTGCTTTACTAAGAGGTGTACCGAGGCAGACAGTGACGTTAATGAAGATAAATTATAAATATTTAACACAGGAATCTGATCAATCTGGTTTTAATTACAGCAAGTTGGAGTGCAGGACTGTGAATGTGCATACTCTACCTTGAGGCTAAGGAGGAACTCACAGACTGAGTGACAAATGCCGATACCCTCCTCAGCACTGGTACCACGCCCCAACTCATCTATGATGATCAGGGACCGGTCACTTACGTTGTGAATAATGTAAGAGATCTTTAAGAAAGAAATATGAAGACAATTGAATGTAATGACTGTTTCAATCCTTTAAATGTCATAAATGTGTGCCAGCCTAATTAAAAGAGAAATAAACATACCTCCTTCATTTCTAACATGAAGGTGGAACAGTTAGTTTCAAAATCATCATCCACACCAATTCTGGTGAAAATCTGATCAGCAACACGAAAAGAGGCATACTCAGCAGGGACAAAAGAGCCTGGAATCATTAATGCAAGGGTCAAACATCAATTCAAATGAAGGTATAGGAAGGTGTGAGGCTGAAAGGTTTGCTTCTGACCTATCTGAGCCATGATCTGGCACAGCGCCACCTGTTTGAGGTAGGTGGATTTGCCGCTCATGTTGGGGCCGGTGACGATGACAAAGTTGTTGCCCTCGGAGATGTAGCTGTTGTTCGCCACAGGCTGCTGTCCGGCCATTCGCTCCAGAATGGGGTGACGCCCCTGCTTGATTGCCAGAGTGTCTGTGAACTCTGGACGCACTGGCAGACACAGCAGCAACACAATGAAAAATATTGTGTTTTTTTTTTTTGTCTGTCTCTTATGCATTTACCAACAACTAATGCTCTGTTCAGTTCAAATAAAAGAGTATTTGATCAACAGAAGAGCTCTCTTACATGATTTATCGTTGGTTAGTTAATGGAAAGGTGTGCCATGACATAATAAAACACATTTCTGAAAGAGGCGTGTGCAGCAGTGGTTTACAGCCAGCTAGCTCCTCTGCTGGGGAGATTTGTCTCAGTAAATACAGCACACCAGTGCACACTTACGTAACAAGGGTAATCTGAGTACAAGCTGGCGGGGATGGAAGAGGGCAGGCACTCAGCACACGTATATGGAGCTACACTTTTAGACAGCTGAGGGGCAACGGCTCACCACCCACGTGGATGGTGCCGCCAACGACCCACACAAAAAAGAACTACAGCCAGATGAGTGGAGCGCTGTCTGGCTGTCATCATGTGTGACACCTGCTGGGTGCTTCCTTATGTGCGTATAACTTCGAGGTTAATGTGACAGTTTGACTGAGTTGAGATGGGAACAGCAGCTCATTCATTCATACCGTAGTCTGATATAGTACATGCATTGGCCAGTGACAGCAACATGTCCAGCATGGAAACAGCATCAGAGAGCTTGTATAGGCAGTGGATGTGCTGGTGGATAGTGCTCAGCAGTTGACATATCACCCTGTATAGAGACAGGTTAGATTAGCTGTTGCAGGGGCAAAACACAGGAACTAAAAACTTGCAAACAGCACCCTCTAGTGGACAAAACATTGTACAAGAATGTATCTAAAATGTGGACTCCTCACTTCTGTATGATTATATTCGTTTGTAGAAACAAAGAATTCCAGGGAATCCATTTGACAGATTTGTAAATTTACTCCCCAAAAATTCCATTATAACGCATCTTATCCTAGATAGTCTTTAGTCCAGGATAGTCCTCTAAGAAAAAAATATTTTCAATGTCTTGTACATTGTAAATAAGTGCCTACAATACATCATTGTACATGTTTAATATGCAAAGGATCATAATCTCCTCACACATAAGACATGTGGAAGATCTCTCTCAAGGCCTCATCACAGCGGTCATTCATCTTCATCAGGTCTGCAGTAGTGAAGCCATAGTTGTTCTTGTGCTTGGTTACCTGCCGTGATAGATATTAACACCAGATTTTTATGTTCATACATGTTTCAAACTTATTGTCAGCATATGTGTGGCTTAGCCTTTGTCATTCACAACTGACAGGGAGTTATCTTTTTGTCTGTTCTTACATAAGCCCTTTTCAGACTGCTGTTTCAAGGCGTGATATGTGCGTGCCTGTAACACTCTGCCTTGAATATGAGTGTCATTGAAGGGTAACGGGTGGATGAAGAGATCCCCATTCTGTGCTGCCTTCAGCGGTAGTAACAAAGGCGTTACACAGGCAAGACAGGATTGGAGGACCCAGTCACTATGTGTATGTGGAGCTCCTGTTTTCGCCGTGCTTCCGCAATACTGTAACGCATCGTGAATTCGCAGACTGGGACATCAATACTACAATGTTGAGGAATCAATATGAATGTTACAGCACTGTTGCGGAATGGCTCTATGAAAAAGGCTACAGCTCTCTGTTGCTGTCTGTTAGCTCTTTCTTTAGAGGACTTTACCTTGATAAATTCTGCAGGCAGTTTCCCTTCTGGCAGCACTGCTCCTTCAAACTTCATCTGGATGAAGAAACCTCGGGCTGTGCTGAAGCTGGTACGCATTGGCCAACCATATTTCTCCCCCATCTGGTTCACTAGGCCTGTGCAACACCATCAACACAATGTCATACAATGTGTTTTGCAGAAGAAAGGCTAAAAAAAAAAAAAAGCTTTGTATTACAAAACAGCTGGAACAAACACCTGCAATGTCGTCCACTATCTCAGTGTAAGCTCTTCGTGCAATGTCAAGGAACTCATTGATGTTGGGGCGGACAGCGTAACACTTCTGAGTGCGCATATTCAGGCTCCCCTTCAGGAAGGTAGTGTCATCATTTACCACTGTCTTGATCTGCTCCAGGATCATGTCAAACCTGAGATGAAACAAACATAATCAGCAGAGGAGGTCTGTAGACCCTGCATAATATTTATTTATTTACCTCAGACATATTACCTGTAAAGGACTAATTACCTGTTGTCCTCCAGAGAAGTGCTGTATGCTTTAAGCAAAGCTGTGTTGCAATCCTTCAACACCATCTGTTCATAAATTTTGTTTTCTTTAATGTGAGTGTTCAGAAGTTGCACAATTAGGCCACTACTTTTATTGAAAGATAATCTTTTGTCCATTTTATATATGACTTAAGGCTGATTGCGATTTAATTCCGGACATTCAAACAGACACAGACCCTTAACCTCGGCACCAGATCCAGTGTGTGCTTCAGCTGTATAACATGTGCAATTTTTGCTTCAGCAACCTGAACCTGTAGAAGAAAAGCAATATCACTGAAAAATCTGCATAATTTCACATCAACAATTTGAGCATTTAAACACACACACACACATCCATTCCTCTGCGATTAAATCATTTTATACATAGTGTACATACGGTTTCCTGCTTTGGGATTTGGACAAGAACAGAGAGCAGCTGGTCGATGTCAAGGAAATGACCTATGGCTGAGGAGTGCATGAGAACAGAATCATTCAATCCTTTGAATCCTGCTTCATGCTCTCTCGTCTTTATCATGCACAATATTTAATGTGTGGTATAAACTGGTCTAATCCTGGTTCTTACCATTTTTCAGACCAAAGAAGAGTCCCTCATCCTGCAGCAGCTCCTGTATGGTGTCCAAGCGGATGTTGATGGTATCCACGTCAACCAGAGGCTCCAAAATATTTGAGCGCAACCTTCTGGCACCACCCGACGTTTTGGTGTGATTAAGTACCCCTAAAAGACTATGTTCACTCCTATATATAGATAAGCAGAGACAAACAAACTGAACACCAATGTGACTGTGCAAGCACTACACATGATGCCATAATACCATCCTCGTCTTGCGCTCTTACCTGTGGTCTCTATTGTTCACTACCAACTCTAAGTTAGAGGCAGAAGCTGAGTCGATCATTGCTGTCTGTTCACTTCCTTTAAAGCTCACTTTGAGGGACTTGGCCGCATAGACAGAGTTCTGAATGAACTCTAAATATTTCAGCAAAGCAGCAGCAGCTGCAAGGCAATAATACCTGAACAAATCAGGACATTTGGTTACATAAAACATTACGGTTGATCTGTGTCTATATGTTATTGAACTTAGCAGCATACTTGGCTTGCACTTCCATGAGGACAGTGCTAAATTCTGGAGCGCACAGCTGTTGAATGTACTCCAGTCCTTTCCTCTCATTGAAATACTTCCTCTGGATAGCAGTGAAAGCTACTCCCTGAGAAAAAAACAACTGAATCAAATGCTGATAAAACCTCAAACTAACAATCAAAAAGAACACAGAAAGTGTATACACAGTTCAAAATTTAAAGAAAGGGAGTGAACGAGCTCCTTCCAGCTTCAAGCCTTTGTTTGAAATCATTGTTTATTTTATTCTACATTGGTACCGGGAAGTTCTCTGTGATGAGGTTGAACAGCTTTGTCCCTTTCCCCTTCTCACTGGCTGTGTCTGGCATCAGTATTTCCAGCGGCACCGAGATGTGAATCTTGGTTATAACCTTCGGGAGAGGAAAATGTGTCTATGCATCCTTTTCTTTGGAAAGTATAGCACATACATTTTATGTTTACCTAGTAATACACAAGTTACCTTGGCATACGTTCCAGTGTCTGCAAACTGAGAGAGTACAAGCTCTGGACATTTCAAGTTGAGACTGGCCATGCCAATCTCTCCTCTGGCCAAACCGCGCCCTTCAACCACAGCCACTATCACAGAGGCACCGGAGGTTGTGGTCGGAGAGGAGCTAGTTGTTGCTGTAAAAGCAGAGAAATCCGAATCTGAAACACAGCTTCAGCCATGTTGACATCCACTTAAAACATTTTACAGGGCAGCAGTACCAGTATGATCCGTCAGTGGTGTCCGCGCAGGGTGTGACCCCAGGGTCCTCCTTAGTCTTGGTGTTCCTCCATTGCTGCAAATAGGTGTGCCATCTGAAGTGGATGCAAGGATGGATGAATTTGTCCAGCCTAACCTGCAGTTGTGAGGGAACTGACCTGTGTCAATGTAGAATATGAGGAGATATTATTAGTACAGTGACCTTCCTACACACAAGGGGGCATTCTTAAAAAAATCTTACCAAAATGCCCTACCCTCATTTGAAAATAAAATAAACAGTGTCTTAAACATCACGTTGTGAAGCCAACCTCTGCTTAATTAAATTAAATTAAATTAAATTAAATTAAATTAAATTAATTTTAGCTTAACTATTTTAACTATATCCACAATACCTGAGAGTATTCGGGGGAGTGATGGACCATGGCTGGAGCTCGTACTGCCTTCATCTAAACTGCGGCGGGATGAAGCAGATGAAGCCGATGCGGGTCCGTACGAGGTAGTTTCATTGAATCCGCTTCTGTCCACGGAGGACACACCGCGGACTGGTCCACATTCTGGGGTGTCACCGCCCGGTGTCACCTCTTCTGTGCTGCTGTGAAACATTTTAAAACCTCAAAATGGGCAAATGATTGGACGTATGTATCAAAAGGATTTGTTTAAAGCCGTAAAAGTCAGCATTCGTGGACAAATATCAGCCTATCGTTTAGCTACTAAAACCCGCCACAGTGAATGCGCGCGATCATGTCAGTGCGCATGTGCAGCGAAAAATTATTGTTTACCTTAAATGCTTCATTTATGTTGAGTCATTACTTACCTTTATTTATTTATTTATTAACTTACTTACTTACTTTTAAAACTTTATTGGGAACCAAAACAAGGTACAACCATAAGAACAGGAATACCAGGGGGAGAAAACCCGTAGATACAATTTAAAAAAAACTAAATAAATGAATAAATAACTGAAATAATCGATTTTTTTTTTTTTTAATGTTAAAAAAGCTACTCTTTTCTGCTGAAAACAGACAGAGGTTTTACAGAAAAAGGAAAAAGCTGACAATTTTAAACAAAAATAATTCAGCGAAAATTTAAGTTTTGAAAGTGAAGCCCATAGACTGTAAACAATATTAACTTTCCTTTTTATGTTGGAAAATGTACCCGGAAGTCTTATTCTTGTTCCTGCGGCGGCCAACATGGCGGCTGACGCGGATGAGTGTGACTATTTTGTGAGGGAAATTGAAAAAAACGACGCTTGTACCCTGAAGGTGAAGCAGTGTTACTTGGGAGACGTCGGCTGTGTTGTTTGGGACGCAGCCATCGTTCTTGCAAAATATTTAGAGACGAAACAATTTTACGAGCCGTCCTCAAGAGTGAACGTGTGGGCTGACAGGAGGGTGCTGGAGCTCGGAGCTGGGACGGGAGCTGTGGGTCTGATGGCAGCAGCACTGGGGTGAGAGAGCTAGCTGCTTAGTTTATTAGTGTCCATGTTACAGATATTCACATTAGTGCGTTTCAGTTTTTGCTGCTCATGCCAATCCCATGGCTCTACAGCCTTTTTGTCAAATGTTCATTGTGTTTGTTTTCATTCGCTGTTTAGCAACGTGTGCTGCTTTTCTCTCTATGATAGCTGCATTGAAGATTGTTGTTATTAACATACACAAACTAAATGTTAACTTTAGCTTTTATTTCTGTGTGTAAAAACCAACAGAGCTCATGTTACTGTGACAGACCTGGAGGATTTGCAGACTCTGCTGAGGCTGAACATTCAGGAAAACAAGGCACTTATCGATAGTGGATCAATTACTGCCAAGGTACTGAAATGGTTTGTACTTATTCTTTATTTAATTACATTTTTAATCACATTCTGAAATGTTTAATTGAGTCATAAATAGATAGATAGATAGATAGATAGATAGAGTGTACTAAAGCCACAAACTAACACAATAACACAACACAATATTGCACACCATGAATACTGCATAGGAACCATGTGCTCCCATACAATATAAAAAATATTAATATTTCACAGTGTTCATGTAGCTGTGAGCCGCTACGTCAATGCACTACGCCATCTTGTTCCATTTAGTCTCATACTGTTCATTTTGATACTTTGTACTCTTAGTTGTAATTAATCAACTCTACTTTATTTAAATGTTGGAATTTGAGAAAACAGTATGTCAATTGATGGTCACGAAATGTTGAAATGCTAACCGTTTCATTTCTTCCCTCTTAAAGGGGTGAAGATGTGTCTGACTTCTTGCCTCCCCCACATTATATCCTTATGGCAGATTGCATCTATTATGAGCAGGTAACTAATCGTAGTTGTCTGCACTGTCACCATTGCAAAACAAAAACAAAATGTGGCACACTGTTTTTTTTTTTGACCCAGTATTTTCCCCCACGCAGTCTATTGTTCCTCTGGTGGAGAGCTTGAAGCTGCTCTCTGGACCGGAGACCTGCATCATCTGCTGCTATGAGCAACGCACAGAGGGCATCAACCCAAAAGTGGAAAGGCAGTTTTTTGAGGTGACAACCAATCTCTGTGTTTAGTTTTAGTAAATACTGGAGAAAAAAAACACAGCTGAGTCAATAATGTTGTGCTGCATTTCAGCTGCTGCAAAAGACTTCATTTGTGAGGAGGTCCCTGCAGACAAGCAAGACCCCGAGTTCAGCAGTCCAGACATCCACATCTTGCACATCAGAAGAAATGTCTGAGTTTGTATGGTGAAATGTGTGCATACGTTAGTAATCCACCTTCAAACTACATGAACAGTAGAATATTTAAAGGCTGTAATGGCAAGTGTTGACTGTATGTTTTATCTTTTTTCTGCATTTATGTAAACAAGTTTTCCAAAATATATACATATATTTCTGATAAATATACTTGAACACTGTCCTGGTGTGTGATTGTAATACTAATGTACTAAAAAATATATAATATTTGAAAATATTTCTATAAACTATAAACCTGGTAAAGGTCAGTAGAATGTTTTCTGGTGTTTTAGATGGCAGACCTGTGGAAGCACAGACATGACGTGCTGTGTTTATCTTTAGTAAAATCATTTGTTTTAACTAGCTGGGTCCCAAACAAGAGACAAGAAAATGTTCCTCTGTGTATTTGAATGCTAAGATAAAGTATTTGTTTTGCAACGCTTATGAACCCTTCAGCTTCTAGCCTATATAACTTGCAGTGAGAGTCCAGCATTCACAGATAGGCAAACTGCAAAAAAGGTACATTATGGACCAACTTTGAACTCTTGAGCAGTGCTCCCCTCTTTGTAAATTACAACAAGTTAATACCCATTTTGAGCACTAGGGGGTAGCAGTTACCTCAAATATTCTTTTAAAGTATAAAACTGAGTAAATGTTTCTGTTCACCTTGAGATAAGTTATCTGAGGGTCAAGTTTGTTATCTCAGGAATATAAATGGTCAGAAATTGTGAGGATCATGCAGCTGCATTTCAAACATGACAAGGGCTGAGAAAATAAATCATCTTTAAAATTCTAAATCCATATTTATTAAATATGTTAATAAAGCTGAACTAATTTTAAATCCTGAATTCAATATAGTATACTCACACTCTTCTGAAGGATTTCCCCCTCCATGCAAGGGGAATTCCACCCCAAGACCGAGATTAGCTGAAAGATTACGGCTCTTTTTTTTTTTTTTTTTTTGCATAAACCATGAAGTACGCCCCGTACTCCCACAGGCATGCAGGGGCCCCTCGCCACCTTTCATGCTGCTCTGTGTTTACACAGTGGAGCTGTACTCTAATGAGCAGGGTGGCCTCATACAATCAGATGCAATAAAAATGTAAATACTGAAGTTTACAGGGTGGTGTGAAAACTGTAACTCTCATTACATAAATCACTTTAGAGAACTATACAATGAACTCAATTCGATTCTGCATTATTAAGATGCTCATACTCATCCTGGCATTTCCCTATGGGGATCCAGGAGCTAACCCGCTCCCCTGAAATCTGCTGATTCTGTACGGCAGGAACATCTGTCATGGCACTGTGCCCCACGCCCATGAATATTCTTGTATTTAATGGTTGGATCTATTCTAAAATAGAAAAAAGCATCTCTAAAATATCACATTCAGCTGATGCTTTAGCTTTTGAATAGATGAAATGAATCCTAAATTGTGGATAAAGCTTTGTGGGAGTTTAAAGATAGTTATGAAACAGACTCAAATAATTATTGTTGCATCTGTATGAGCTTTAAAATCAAACAAAACAATCGGCAACTAGATTGATTATTTCTAAATAGTTATCATTTTTGCCTGTAACAGCTGACACTGGGTAGGTGTCAGATGAGGTGACACAGCCTTTTTACTTACATTTACATTATTTACAGCAAAGATTCAAAGTGAGTGTTATGTTTCAAGACTGCAGGTTGTGATTTATCATCAGAAAATACTACATTTGCACTGACAGGACAAGATCAATGAAGAGTTAAGATGTACACATGTCCGCAGGGGGCACCATAACCATTTCAACACACGCCAAAAGTTCCACAAATGAGCTTTAAAATAAAGGGTATGACCATCTACAATCACACACTCTTGTACAAACGCAGCCCTTCCTGTCCTAAACAACAGATTCATATAATGAACCAATATCACAACTGTGATTGTGAAATGTTTGAAATGAAAGAGAAAGGTGGAGGTGTGGGTGAATTGAATCAGACCCCTGAATCCCTATAGGCCTGGTCGCCTACATGGCCAATCACAAGAGGAATAGAGTGAGATTAGTTGCCCTTTCTGCTCCACATTATTATGAAGAAAACTCCAGCAGATCATCTAAGACCCTGTCCCTGTGGCCCTCCTCTGTGCCCTCACTTTACCCCGGGAGCAGCTGGACTTGTACATCAGAATCATCCTCTTATTGAGGTCTTCTTTGGCTCTGACCAGGATATGTTCAGCCAAGTAATTGGACTCACAGCTGGAATCAAACCCATGCCCCGCAATGTGACATGGAACATGACCCAGAGGAGAGGATTTGGAGGATTAGAGAGGAAGATGTACCTATTTCATTATGTCCCATCCATAGGTCTTTCAGTCAAATCATTTATTATTTATCTTACAATCTCCACTTACCTTCTTGCACAAAATGAATGCTGTAGTCTTCTGGTGATAGGCTAATTAGACCAGCACTACAGGGAGTCTCACAGTAAATGAGGACAGCCCACTGTGAAGCAGTGGTGTCTCTAATCTGACATCATGTATACATTACAGGGGATTCTGGTGACTGTAAACATTCATTACGGAACATGTGCCGCACATGCTGCATGCACAGAGACAGAATGGGGACACTTTTCTGCCTACAGATGGTGCTATTAGCAGAAAAAAAGCACTTACCTGTGTGGAAAATCTGCATTAAAAATGACATCTTCATACAAAGCTGAATATGCAAAATAGTGCTATGCTCTAAAAGTTATTGTCTTAAAGATGATGTAATGTGTCGTTTTGTCTTCACAAAGAATTGAGATTTGACCCTATCACCCACTTGCATTCTCCTTGCTTGTTTCCCAAACAAGACAACACAAGGGGAGCAGTGCTGCGTACCCCCTCCAAAACCAGATGGGTGTAGGAGAGTTTGACTCCATGCAGCCCATGTGGTGGTGCGCTCCACTCTGCTGCATCACGGCCAAGTGACACAGAAGCTCCTTTGTGTCACCATCATCACGCTGCCTGGAGCCAAAAGAGACTGTTCCAGAAAGGAAGACTCGTTTTCTCACTCACTATCAGGGAGTGGCTCAAGAATAGACATCAAACTGGGCTGATTAAAAATAGAAGAAGAAGGCTGCTTGGATGTGTGACATCTCTGATCCTGCAAAAGTGCCCCACCAACACCACCCTACACAAAGCCCCTGTCCCCCTTGTTGCTTACAAAATGTGCATCAAACCGTTGTGCTCCCCCCCAAAACACATTTTTCTTGCAAACAAGATGCAGAAACTCATTTTTGGCAGCGTTCTGGTGAAGCAAAGCCTCATAGGACAACTAGCTTATAGAAACACAATGCTGACTTCACCCCCCTCGCCCCCACTCCCCCTGCAGGGGAACAGGGAGAAGGGGGTGCTGTTAAGACAGCTGTGCTGCAGTTGAGAGGGGACACAAATCCAGTACTGTGAGAATATTGTGCACCACACTTGCCCCCTTCTTACACTCCTGTTAATGCTGTAGCTGCAACACTATGATATACCATTGATTGCCTATATTTAAAAAAAAAAAACAAATTGGAAAAAGATTTTAAACCATCAGGAAAGTGTGTGTATTCAGAGAGTTTCAGTGGGGGATTAAATCTAACCCTTTATCAGTTAAAATATAATTGTGTATCGATCCTGTGCTTAAAACACCTCGCAACCCCTTTGCGTGTCTGATGTCCCTACAGCATTCTAGTGCACTGATGTATCTGTCATCATTAGATTGTGTGGCAGCACAGCACCAGAGGGAGAATTGCAGAGGGGAGGAGAGCTGCTCGTGTGAGTGTGTAGCGTTTCCCTGAGTCATTACCTCTCAGTAGCATGAATCTGGACTGTGTGTGTGTGTGTGTGTGTGTGTGTGTGCGCACGTGCATAAGCAGCGGCACCTTACTTGCCAAAAATCTAAGTTTTTTCCCTGCCAAGCCAAGCCAGTTGTCTAATCCAGAGAGACACAGTGTCACTGGAAACACTCCCTGCTCTGAAATTACAGCAGATCTTGTCAGAGATACAGATGTAGTCACTCATGGAGTGTGACTGAGGCCTTTGAGGTTGTTTTGCATTTATGGAGTCTCCTCTCTCTGCTACTGTACACTTGTTTTTAGATGAATTTTTAAAGCCACATTGCAGAGGCCAGTGCTCTGTGCCCTCTATGAAAAAGCTCAGCAAAATCTCAAAAACAATCAATTGATTTGATTAAGCTTCAAAAACAGATTTTATGCTATTCCATTTTAGTCCCTTGCAGCCATCAGACTGCAGCAGCATCCATACTGCCTCTCCCTCCTTCTCCTGTATACTCCTTACATCTGAAGGCAAGAAGGTTAACACTCTTCTATGATCCTCTTTACACTCTGTGTGTTACAGCTGGGAAAACAGCAGACAAGTCCAGGGACAAATGGGTCCACCATCTCACACTGCTCTTTTAAAAATCCTACAGTTTTTAGGTTGGAATCACAATGACACATTTCAGGTTTTCATGTAGTAAAGTAAAAGTCAAAGCTGAAAGATTTTTTTTTAAAAGTAATGGGTTTTACATTTGCTGGTTTTAAAGTGGGAAAACAACGTGATTATCAGGCGAAACTGTTCGGTTTGTAGATTTAATTAAGTGTTTAATGCTTGTATGAGCACTTAAGGTACCCATTAAAAAACAAATTGCTTGTGTCATTTAGACTTCCAGCACTTCTTAATCATTTTTTGGTCCTGTGGATCTGTAATTTCACCACAGCAAGTAACCTTCAGTTGCAGATATGAATGGAATGCATTTTGGACCGATGCCCAGGGTGCACCTTGGACTTCACAGCCTCACATTTTCAAGCCTTATTTAGTCGGCCTGCACGTCAGCAAAGACCCCCTTTTAAAACCACAACACTGATTCAGGTTGTTTATCTGCAAAACCTGCACTGACACCAGAACAAACTCAAACACAGTCACAACATTAGTAGAAAATGTGCTTCAGTATAGTATTACTTTGGAGCAGCACATGAAAAAACATAAATACAGCACCCTTTAGATAATAATGATTTATATATAAGAGCTCAAATATGTGTATGATCTAAAGGGACGAAAGGTCTACCAAATATTATGTACAAATGCTTCTGAGAAATTTGTAATCTGATCGCAGAGGGGATGAACCACTTTGAATAATAGTTTAATGAGAAGGTAAAATAAAATACAACCTGACGGCAACA